CCAGCGGGCGCTGGGTCTGCTCGTGTGGCCGCTGGCGGTGCTTCGTCGAGGCGGGAGCCACTCTCTCCACAGGAGCTGCGCGAGTGGTTTGCCCGGCGCTAGAGCCGTGCTGCTGTAGCTGGAGGTACTACTGTTCCTACTAGTCCCGGAGGTGCTCGTACTAACGGTGCTGGAGCAACTGGGCCTGGGGGTGAAGCTGGGGCTTCTGGAGTTGGTCCTGCTGGAGCTGCCGGTCCTGCTGGAGTTGGTGCTGCTGGAGCAGGAGCTGCTGGGGGTGTTGGCGCTGGTGGTTCTGCTGGCGCTGGTGCGTCTGAGGGTGCTGGAGTTGGCGCTCTTGGAGGTGGAGGTACTGCTGGCGCGGGTGCTGTCGCTGGGGGTCCTTGTGCTGTCCCTGCTGGTTGTGGAGGCGCTGAGCGGCCGCGCCCGTACTTCGTTCCGCTCCTTGGCAGGTTCTTGGTCTCCCGCCTTCTACTGGTCCTGCTCCTCCCTTACAGTGTCCACAGCCTGTCTAGTCGCAGTCACATTTACAGCCCGCCTCCCCTCCACCTGCTCCTTCTCCTCCTTCTTTGCTCGTTGTCGTCTAGACTACGCCACTAGTCTTGTTGCTGAGTCCGAGTCTGTCTGTGATCCGTCCGTCGGGGGTGGGTGTGCTCTTAGTACGGACGTCCTTGAGGACAGGGAGGAGAATTTCTAGTGTTTTGGTGCTGCTTTGCCTCATCTCGTGTCCTCGCTGATTGCCCTTCAGGAAGACCCGGATGCACCAGACATCCCGACTCCTCGATCGTACACTGAGGTGATCGAGGGTCCCTACTCCTCTCAGTGGCAGTCAGCCATGGACGCAGAGATGGCTTCTTGGAAGTCCACAGGCACCTACATTGACGAGGTTCCCCCATTTGGGGCGAACATCGTTAGTGGCATGTGGATTTTCAGGGTGAAGCGGCCGCCAGGTTCTCCGCCTGTCTTCGAGACGCGTTACGTGGCTCGAGGCTTCAGTGACTGGCAGGGAGTTGACTACTTTCAGACCTTCTCTCCCACCCCGAAGATGACCACTCTTTGGGTGCTGCTGCACATAGCCGCTCATCGCGACTACGAGCTTCACTCTCTTCACTTCAGCACTGCTTACCTACAGAGCAGCCTGCACAAGGAGATCAGGTTGCGCCGCCCTCTTGGCTTCTTTGGGTCGTTTCCTCCTGGTACCCAGTGGAGTCTCCGACGGCCACTCTACGGTCTCCGCCAGGCGCCCCGTGAGTGACACGAGACACTGAGGACTACACTTGCGGCTCTTGGGTTTGCTCCTTCTACTACTGACCCTTCGCTGTTTCTACGCACCGACACATCTTTGCTACCGTTCTACATCCTCGTGTACGTCGACGACTTGGTTTTTGCTACTGCTGACACTGCTGGACTCGCCCATGTGAAGTTCGAGTTGTAGAACAGACACATGTGCACAGACCTGGGTGAACTGCGCAGCTACTTTGGCTTGCAGATCACCCGGGACAGAGCACAGCGCACCACTACCCTAACTCAGTCACATATGGTGCAGCAAGTCCTTCATCGCTTCGACTTCACTTACTCCTCGCCTCAGGCCTCTTCTCTGTCTTCTCGTCACTCGCTCTCAGTTCTGCCTTCGGATGAGTCCGTAGAGCCGAGTGGCCCATACCCAGACCTTGTTGGCTGCCTCATATACCTGATGACCTGCACACGACCTGACTTTGCATACCCTCTTAGCATCTTGGCATGCTATGTTGCTCCTGGGATACACCGACTAGAGCACTTGGCTGCAGCGAAGAGGGTGTTGCGCTACTTGTGCAGTACGTCGACCATGTGGCTAGTGCTTGGAGGGCGACGTCGAATGGTCCTCACAGATTACGCAGACGCTTCTTGGGCTGACGACTAGGCTACGCAGCGGTCGTCACAGGGTTACACCTTCAGTCTTGGTTCCGGCTCTGTTTCGTGGCGGTCTACCCGCTCTTCTTCTGTTCTCGGCTCCAGCTGTGAGGCTGAGATCTACACGGGGGCCATGGCTGCAAAGGAGCTATGCTGGCTCACCTACCTGCTATCTGACCTAGGAGAGACGCCTCGCTCTTCTCCAGTTCTGTACGTAGACAACAAGGCCATGCTGGCCTTGTGTTGGGAGCACAGACTGGAGCAAAGAACGAAGCACATTGCTCTTCGCTACTTCCTTGCTCGTGAGCTGCAGCAGCGTGGTCAGCTGCGTCTTGGTTACATGGCCTGTGAGGCCAACACTGCTGATATCTTTACCAAGGCACTTCCGCGTGTTGATCATCAGCGTTTCTGTAAGATGCTAAGTCTTGTGCCTACCTGGCCTCACTTGCTCACTTCTTGAATTTGCTTGTACTGTAATCTTTCTATACCTGCACTTGCTTGTTTATCTTTATATATGATCTTGCATGTGAACTGGCCTTTTAACCTTGCTCTTGTGCTCGGATTGTGTGGTGACGTTGTGATCCTTCCTGAGCTTGCTTTGCTTTGCTTGACTGGTCTTGTGACCTCTTGTTCTCCTCCACTTTGCCTATGGGGGTGTGTCAAAGTCATATGCTATAGTCTGTATAGGCTGTAGTGGGGTAGATAATATGGGGTACAACACTTCTAGGTTTTCCTACTTGTACTCACCTGCTTGCTATTTCATTCATTCCTGATTTCTTCACAGCAACTTGTCAGGGAAGACATCTCTGAACCCTGCTAACAGTGCACTCACCTTAGCAGGAAGAGTCGCCTTTTTACCAACTGCTGCACTCCCTCTTTTCCCCTCCTTAGGTTCCACCTCCTTAAGGAAAACCGCAAAGATCCGTGCCGCACGCTTCACCAGTTGCCGCGCATGAACAGCATTGATGATAGCTGTGGATGATGTCGCCCCATCACTCCACTGTGGCAGCTCCCGGAACTCCCCGTCTACCTTGACACTGCAGCTTCCCTGAGCCCAATCGAACTGAGTACTAACCGTCTGTAGCCAATCCCTTCCGAAGATGAAGTCATAACCGTCTAGCGTCGCAGAGTCGGAGTCACGCCTTACCGTTATTGGTCCTAGCATTGCGCGCAACTTGCGGATGATTGGTCCTATGTGGAAAGGCGTCCCATTTACCATGCGTGCATCTTGAAGTTGACTGCGGAATTTGCTACGGGATGGAGGCGGTTGACTAACGATGAAGACATGAACGACTAGCTCCGGTATTTACGAGTATCTTAATAGGAACTCCGCGAAGCTTCTTTAGAAGCACGACTGGTCGGTCAACATTGTCTCCGTAGAGGACTGCTGCAAAGCAGTCTCCTCTACGTTGGTAGATGTGGCGGGTACGGGAACCTCCACACCAGCTAGCGACCCGCTATCTACTCGCGAATTCCGTTTCTCTGCTGCTGCTTCTTGGACTCTAGGCAGTCCCGCTTCATGTGTCCCGGCTTTTTGCAGTAGTGAGAGTTCCCCCTAAAACCCGTTTGTTGCGGGCCGTCACTGTTAACTGCACCGATCTCCATGGGCGACGGTCCGTCCCTCGATCGAGCGTCGTTGATCACTCTGTTGTATCCCCTATCGCGATTGTCACGACCTTGTCGACTTCGTGCTACGTGGACACGTTCTGCTGCTGCGACAACTGACTCGAAGGTGGACAACCCATGAATCGCTATAACTTCCGCTATGTCCGGCTTCATCCCCTCGAGGTAGCAATCGCTCATCTCTGCTTTCTTGACATTGTCTATCTCGTTGCAGATGCTCAAAAACCGTCGTGTGTACACCTGGACGTTTCCTATCTTTCGGAAATGGCGCAGACGCTTCCTAGCAGCTTCGAAGGCGTTGACCATGTCGAACCTACTTTTCAGCGCCGCTTCAAATCCTTCCCATGTGGTTGGAACCGTGGTAACACCCAAAGCTAAACTCCCTAAGCTCAAAGTTGCAGCTGCATCCCCCACGCCCTATTGATGCCCGTCTGTCTGAGCCCTTCTTACAGCAGTCTTGCGTGAGTTGGCGTCAGCACTCCACGCCCGGGCCCCTAGTTAGTGTAACGGAGTACTCGATCCGCTGCTGCGCGTCCGCCTCTTGCACACCGCTCGTGGCGAAGTAGTTGTTGAGCATGATCCACGTCTGCACGATTGCGTCGCGTTGGCTTGGGTCGAACGGTTTGGGCTTCTGCGGCTTGAGCACGCTTCGACGTTCCGGCAGCGCTTCCGCGCCAGTCGACGCGTTGGGTGCAGGAGATGGTGCGGCATGGCCAGAAATTGACGCGAATTCACGAAGCTGTTGCATTTCAGCCCGTACCTGACGATTTTCCAACGTCAACTGTTCGAGTTGGCGCATGCGTTGAGCAAGCGTGTTTGCAAGTCGGCACCGTGGGACGATGACGTCGTAGTCTCGTCGTTGACGGTCGCTCGTTGGAAGTCGCTCCCCACGAAGGCTCCTGATACCAAGTGTTAGGCCCCTTGGCCTAAATCCGCTAAAGAATAGCGGGGTCGACTTAGTCGAGGATGAAAACGCGGCGGAAGACTTTGGCGAAAGAACTATAGGCGAAAGAGGCGAATAAGTTACTGAGTAATTGAAGTTTTGAATGAGAATTGATTGATATTGGTGGATACAAGCAAGGATGATATAGCATGAAAGTTCGAATGTCGGAAAGTACTTCGTAGGACTAGAAAGTAGAAGCAAGATAAGTAGAGTGCCACATGGCACTAGAAAATCCAAGAAGATAAAGGATAAGGATGGGGTTGGGAGTTACTGTGCAAAGTGAACAGTAAAACCCCTGTAACAGTTATGTTTTCCGCTAATTTCCGCAAACCAACGGCCTTAGTTGTGCGGCGCGAAGCTGCGAGTATAAGGGGCACGCCACTGTGGTTCTTCAGCACCCCCAAAGTGTCTTTTATTTTGTTCAAAGCTTGTGTCTTACGTTGTTTCAGTGACCGTTTTCGTGATATTCCAAGTCCATGTGCTCTATCAGCTTAGGAACTAGAAGAACGTAATATTGTGGCAGCGTTGTCGTTTCGACGTTTCAGTTATGGCCATGGCGGGGTTGCAACACCAGGGCGGCAGCATGAGCACGAGCAGCAGCGGCAGTGAGAGCAAGACGATGAAGGAGAGGCATGCGTCGGCGGCGCTCGAGGAGCTGCGCGCCATCGTGCAGGCGTGCGCGACGTGAGTGAAAATGCCAGTGTTGCCAAAAAAAAAAAAAAAAAGCCGAGACTGTCGCACGTGCGACGTACGTACAATGAAACTGCCATGGGACGAGAAAATTATGGTCACATGTGGGACGTGAGAAAATTGAAGCGGTCGCATGCTCGACAGTACGACGAAATGGTTTCACGTGCGACGTGAGCACATTTCAAACGGTCGCAGTTGTGAAGGTGAGTATTTCATACGTGCAATGTGCATGTCATTTCGCATGCGTGCTACGACTCGGAGTGAGTACGTGAGCCGAGTGCGACACGCATGCGAAATTGGCGGCTGGCGAGACCAACTCTCCTCTTCGGAAGAGGAGGGGTAAGGATGCTCCGTGACCGTTCGATGGTGCAGGCGTGCGTCCGAGTTTGTGTGTCACTCACATACCACTAACTCCTCACCCACGTGTCACCCACGTGTCACCCGCGTGTCACCCACGTGTCACCCGCGTGTCACCCGCGTGTCACCCCGTGCCAACAGCATGCTCAACAGGAAGCCGTCATCGCTGAAGCGCGCGTTCGAGCGGCGGCACCCGCAGCTGGCGGGGGAGGCGGACAGCGCGCTGTACGCCACCCACCTGCTGCTCTTCGCGCTCCACCGCGCCCTCCGCGCCTGCACCCTGCGCACCGCCCTCGCCGCTTCCAAGGTCCCCTTCCCTCCCCTCTGTCCCCTCTGCGCCATCGTCTCTCGCCCAACACCCCTTTTCCTTTGTCGCTTCGCTCCTATCTCGCGTCCGCCACACACTGAAGCCCTTCTTTCCCCTCCCCTCCCCTCTGTGCTCACCAGACCGTGCCACTGGACCAGCTGCTGTACCGCAGCATAACCACCTTCGCCACTCTGCACCGCATGCACCTCGAGGCCCAGCAGCAGCAGCAGCGCGCGCGACGGCAGGCGTCCAGCAAGGGCGCGGGGGCCAGCAGGGGAGCGCCGCCCAGGCCGCCGTCCATGGGGCACGAGCAGGTAGGTGCTGGCGGGCAGGGATGTGGGGGGCAGTAGTGGTGGGAAGCACGTGTGCGGCATGGGGTCAGGGCGCACGGAGCATGTGCCACCGGATTTTCTGCAAAGTAGCTTCACAGACCGCTGATGTGCCCCCTCCCCTTCATGACACCCGCCCCTGCGTCCTCCTGCTCCCCGCTGCCCCAGCAGCAGGTGCAGGCGGTGGGCAGGGAGGAGGAGAGGTTGGAGAAGGAGAGGGCTTTGCAGGCGGAGGCGATGGCGCTGGGGTTCACACGTGTGGCGCCGCTGCTGGGGGAGCTCGCCACGCCCGCCACGGCCGCCTGCCTGCACCACCACCTCGCCTTCACTCGCGCTGCCAACTCGCCCTCCGCCCAGCCGCCCCCCTCGGGCCTCTCTGCCGACCGCATGCACCAGTTTGTGGCCGCCGTGGCACAGTGAGTGGGGCGCAGGGAGTGGGGCGCAGGGAGTGGGGCGCAGTGAGTGGGGCGCAGTGAGTGGGGCGCAGTGAGTGGGGCGCAGGGAGTGGGGCGCAGTGAGTGGGGCGCAGGGAGCGGGGCGCAGTGAGTGGGGCGCAGGGAGTGGGGCGCAGTGAGTGGGGCGCAGTGAGTGGGGCGCAGTGAGTGGGGCGCAGGGAGTGGGGCGCAGTGAGTGGGGCGCAGGGAGTGGGGCGCAGGGAGTGGGGCGCAGTGAGCGGGGCGCAGGGAGTGGGGCGCAGTGAGTGGGGCGCAGGGAGTGGGGCGCAGTGAGTGGGGCGCAGGGAGTGGGGCGCAGTGAGTGGGGCGCAGTGAGTGGGGCGCAGTGAGTGGGGCGCAGGGAGTGGGGCGCAGTGAGTGGGGCGCAGGGAGTGGGGCGCAGTGAGTGGGGCGCAGGGAGTGGGGCGCAGTGAGTGGGGCGCAGGGAGTGGGGCACAGTGAGTGGGGCGCAGGGAGTGGGGCGCAGTGAGTGGGGCGCAGGGAGTGGGGCGCAGTGAGTGGGGCGCAGGGAGTGGGGCGCAGTGAGTGGGGCGCAGGGAGTGGGGCGCAGTGAGTGGGGCGCAGGGAGTGGGGCGCAGTGAGTGGGGCGCAGGGAGTGGGGCGCAGTGAGTGGGGCGCAGTGAGTGGGGCGCAGGGAGTGGGGCGCAGTGAGTGGGGCGCAGTGAGTGGGGCGCAGGGAGTGGGGCGCAGTGAGTGGGGCGCAGTGAGTGGGGCGCAGTGAGTGGGGCGCAGTGAGTGGGGCGCAGGGAGTGGGGCGCAGTGAGTGGGGCGCAGTGAGTGGGGCGCAGGGAGTGGGGCGCAGTGAGTGGGGCGCAGTGAGTGGGGCGCAGGGAGTGGGGTGTGGTATGGGTGAGCGTCCCATGCGATCCCAGACTTGCCATGCCATGCCACCCGTCCACATGACCCATACCATCCGAAGCCATGCCATGGCACACATGCCGCACCTTGCCATGCACGCCCCGTGTGTGTATGTGTGTGTGTGTGTGTGTGTGTGTGTGTGTTTGTATGTGTGTGTGTGTGTGTGTGTGTGTGTGTGTGTGTGTGTGCAGTGAGCAGGAGGCGATGGGCAAGCGCACGGGGGTGATAGCAGCGGCGCTGGGGCTGCAGGAGAGGGAGGTGGTGGTGGCGGAGAGCGACGCCACGCTCTACATCGACGCCCCGGGGGCGCCCAAGACGCTTGTGGGCCATGGCCGCCTCTACCTCACCCCTCTCGCCCTTTACTTCCAGGTGCGCCCTCCTTCCCACACAACACCACCTCTCTTCTCCACCTGCTGCACCTACCTTGCTCCCACACTCCCCACCTTACTCCCTTACCAAACCCCACAACTCATCTTCCCTTCCCCCCCCCCCCCCAACCCCGCTCCCCCTCTCTGCGCATCCAGGCGGACGCCACAGGCTTCCTGCGCACGGTGGCGGGGAGGGTGGAGCGCTTTGACCTGGCAGCTGTGGGGGTGGAGGCGGCGGTAGCAGAGGTGGCGCCGGACGCGCTGGCGCTCAACGTCTTCTCCATGACGCGCTCCCTTGCCCTCTCCTCCCGCCTGTGCGCTCCCTCGCCCTCTCCTCCTCCCTGTGCGCCCTGCTCGCTCGCTCTTTCTTCCCGCCTCTCTGCTCCCATTCTTCCCGTCGCACTCCCGCTTCTGCCCAACGCCCCATGCTCATCCCATGGCCCTCCCATCCCCCATGCACCACACTTCTCCTCATCAAGTCCCCCATGCTGCTCTCCTTGTCAAGGGACCTCCCTGCCACCTGCAATCCGTGTGCACGTGGTGCTGTGAGGGCGGAAGGCAGGTGGCGTGGCGTGGGCGGTGGAGTTCATGGAGTACAAGCTGCAGTCACACCGCATGTCCACTCCCATCCCATGCCCATCCCATGGCCATCCCATGCCCATGTGATAACCATTCCATGCCCCAATTTTCCTCATCGAGTCCTCTCTGCTGCTTCTTTTGTCTCGACAGCTCCCTCCCATGCCATGATCAAGCGTGTGCGCTGGTGTGCCGTGTGAAAAGAGTTGGAGAAGACGGAGCATCGATAGAAAGAAAGGCATACATAGGAGCCAAGAAAGGCTTGGGGATGATGATGTTGGGTGGGAGCAAGTGGTGGAAGAAGCCATTGGTCCCTAATCGTGGTTGGATTAACCAACCACAAGGAGGGGACCATGGGGGATGGGACCAACCACCCCACTTGGCTGTGAATTTGGGCTCCACCACAATTAAGTTGGATTGGCACCCAATCACAACGTGTGTACCTGCAAAGGGGTACTACAGTCTTAACTCGACTTAACACCACACTTGGTGTAAAGTCACAATCTTAGCATGCTATATTTCTAAAATTGTGGACGGGGGCAGGCAGGCGACATGGACGGTGGACTCCATAGAGTACAAGCTGCAGCGCCATCCCATGCCCATCCCATGCCCATCCCATGCCCATCCCATGTCCATCCCATGCCCATCCCATGCCCATCCCATGCCCATCCCATGCCCATCCCATGCCCATCCCATGCCCATCCCATGCCCATCCCATGCCCATCCCATGTACATCCCATGCCCATCCCATGCCCATCTCATGCCCATCCCATGCCCATCCCATGCCCATCCTATGCCCATCCCATGCTCATCCCATGACCATTCCATGCCCATCCCATGCCCATCCCATGCCCATCCCATGCCTATCCCAAGCCCATCCCATGCCCATCCCATGCCCATCCCATGCCCATCCCATGCCCATCCCATGCCCATCCCATGACCATCCCATGTCCATCCCATGCCCATCCCATGCCCATCTCATGCCCATCCCATGCCCATCCCATGCCCATCCTATGCCCATCCCATGCCCATCCCATGACCATTCCATGCCCATCCCATGCCCATCCCATGCCCATCCCATGCCCATCCCATGCCCATCCCATGCTTATCCCATGCTCATCCCATGCCCATCCCATGCCCATCCCATGCCCATCCCATGCCCATCCCATGCCCATCCCATGCCCATCCCATGCCCATCCCATGCCCATCCCATGCTCATCCCATGCCCATCCCATGCCCATCCCATGCCCATCCCATGCCCATCCCATGCCTATCCCAAGCCCATCCCATGCCCATCCCATGTCCATTCCATGCCCATCCCATGCCCATCCCATGCCCATCCCATGCCCATCCCATGACCATCCCATGCCCATCCCATGCCTATCCCATGCCCATCCCATGCCCATCCCTTGCCCATCCCATGTCCATCCCATGTCCATCCCATGCCCATCCCATGCCCATCCCATGCCCATCCCATGCCCATCCCATGCCTATCCCATGCCCATCCCATGCCCATCCCTTGCCCATCCCATGCCCATCCCATGCCCATCTCATGCCCATCCCATGCCCATCCCATGCCCATCCCATGTCCATTCCATGCCCATCCCATGCCCATCCCATGCCCATCCCATGACCATCCCATGCCCATCCCATGTCCATCCCATGCCCATCCCATGCCCATCTCATGCCCATCCCATGCCCATCCCATGCCCATCCCATGCCCATCCCATGACCATCCCATGCCCATCCCATGCCTATCCCATGCCCATCCCATGCCCATCCCTTGCCCATCCCATGCCCATCCCATGCCCATCCCATGCCCATCTCATGCCCATCCCATGCCCATCCCATGTCCATCCCATGTCCATCCCATGCCCATCCCATGCCCATCCCATGCCCATCCCATGCCCATCCCATGCCTATCCCATGCCCATCCCATGCCCATCCCTTGCCCATCCCATGGCCATCCCATGCCCATCCCATGCCCATCTCATGCCCATCCCATGCCCATCCCATGCCCATCCCATGTCCATTCCATGCCCATCCCATGCCCATCCCATGCCCATCCCATGCCCATCCCATGCCCATCCCATGTCCATCCCATGCCCATCCCATGCCCATCTCATGCCCATCCCATGCCCATCCCATGCCCATCCTATGCCCATCCCATGCCCATCCCATGACCATTCCATGCCCATCCCATGCCCATCCCATGCCCATCCCATGCCCATCCCATGCCCATCCCATGCTTATCCCATGCTCATCCCATGCCCATCCCATGCCCATCCCATGCCCATCCCATGCCCATCCCATGCCTATCCCATGCCCATCCCATGCCCATCCCATGCCCATCCCATGCCCATCTCATGCCCATCCTCGGCAGGCAGGCGACATGGACGGTGGAGTTCATAGAGTACAAGCTGCAGCGCCAGCGCGACCTCTGGCAGGCGCTGCTGGGGGAGGTGCTTTCCCTGCACGCCTTCCTCGCTGACTACCGCCCCGTGCCCAGTGAGGTGCTGCCAGCTGGCACGCAGGAGGAGGAGTATGCTGCTGCTGATGATGATGATCTGAGCGATGATGTCAGCGACGATGACGAGGGGCAAGTGGAGGAGGAGGAGGAAGAGGAGGAGGGGAGTGAGGAGGGGAAGGAGGAGGGGGAGAAGCCATCGCTGGAGGTGTTGCTGCTGGAGGAGGGCAGCCAGCAGGCCGTGTGGATGATGGTCAACGCCGTGCTGCAGCTGCAGGTGCGCCCACCCACACATGCACTCGCCCACACATGCACTCGCCCACACATGCACTCGCCCACACATGCACTCGCCCACACATGCACTCACCCACACATGCACTCACCCACACATGCACTCACCCACACATGCACTCACCCACACATGCACTCACCCACACATGCACTCACCCACACATGCACTCACCCACACATGCACTCACCCACACATGCACTCGCCCACACATGCACTCACCCACACATGCACTCACCCACACATGCATTCCGCATTGCCTCCCATGCACGTCCCCCCCTCCCATGCGCCTTGTGTTGGTGACGGAGAGGCATGCGCCACCTCCTTAGCAGCAAGCATGCGCCACCTCCTTAGCAGCAAGCTATGTTGCGCCTGACGCGTCAGGCGTTTTTGACGCTGGCGTCTGGACGGGGCGTCCAGACGCTTGACGATCAGGGCCCTCTGCCCTGGACGCCCGCTTGACGCACGCTAGTCCGGGCAGGGCAAAAAAAATTTCCGGGCAGGGGTAAAAAAACCTGCCTAGTAAGGATACGCAAGGGTTTGAATGCAAGAAGTTCACATTTGTCACCTACACTCATAAATACTCTATAAAATCCAGAAAATCCTGAAAATCTCCTAATCTCACACACAAGTTAAATACTCCTCTTCTCACATGCATAACCTAGGGAAGAGGGGGGATTGCCACATATTCATCAGCTAGCAGCTTGTCTTCTTCCTCCTCCTCCTCATCCACCTCCTCCTGCAGAATGTATCCCTCCGGGACCGGGGGGTCTGGCTTGTTACCCTCAATTATCCCGGCCCCCTCCATCTCAGGTCGCTTGTGTGCATTATGCACCACCAGCCAGTTGTGGGCCACGTACACCAAGTCGCGGCATTTCTCCGACCCTAGCCGGTTCCGGCGAGCCGTGTGGACTCCCTCCCACTTAGCCCAATTCCGCTTGCACGAGGAGGCCGACACGGGCTGCGCAAGGGTATGGCGCGCAATGTCAGCTAGCTCGGGGTAGTCGCATCCATGCCACTGCCACCAGCTTAGCAGATCCCCCTTCCCAGCCCGAATCTCCTCCCGAGCCTCCACCGCGCTCTTTGTGCCGAAACTCCCATCACCGTTAATGTAGGCAAGCATCCCCTTCTGAAGCTCTTTGAAGCCACCAGCTCCACCCCTCTTGTACTTCACCAAGAAATCATGCGCACGCTCTAAGAACTCCTTCATGACTTTGGTACACTCCCTATCCCGAAGAAAGATTCCCTCCTTCTGGTTGGCCGGATTAAAAATCCGGCCAGCCACATGGAGCGCACATGCAAGGCTATCATCCCATCTAGCCTTCAGAAAATCGCTGATCTTCTCCTTATCCTCGTCGCTCAGCTGCTCCTCATCCTCCTCCAGCAATGCACTCATTTCCTCCGTCAACTGTAGCATCAGGTCATACATATTTGCCATCATCCCCTTCTTTGTCGAGTCTGTCTTACGCATGGTGACATATGGCAGCTGCAGCAGCTTCTTGAAGAACTCTGCTGTCTTCCACCACGCAGAATCCAGCACGTACTTCTCAAACTTGTCTGCTGCCTCCTTCACCTTAGCACCTATGTTGGAAAAGTCGCCAGAAACCATAAGCGCACTCCGTATAGTCGTTTACGAATATACGGTGTACGCAAGTCGTACGTATATTCGTTGGCGAAAGTTCGGGCTGACCCGAAAAAAAACCAGATTTCAATAGTCGCGCACGAATTGCGAATGTGCGACGCGACTCAAAATGTACGCACGTCCCACCCCAATTTGTACGCACGTCCCAACCACATTGTCACCCACACCTGTCAAAATGTGGGGACGTGAGAAAATTTGAACCGCGCTGCACCCTATGCTATCGCGCGACGCGACTCCAATACACAAACACGAATGTCGTCAACCAGCGTAGGTGGTTCAACCACATCCTGGACTATAAGGTAAGCTCTCATTCCCGTCATCTGTATTATCTCTCTCGTTCATTGTCTCTCAACACTCCCGCTCACCTGCACTTGATGTCGACTCCTTCTGGTACTCCCGCAAGTGCCACTAGTGAGGCTCCTAGTGTTTCGAATGACGCGACCATGGCGGACGACGAGGATGTTCCTGTGAACACCCATGTTATTTTTAAGCATTTCCTTACCTCTACCGAAGGTACCTCGAATGGTCCTGAGCGTACTCTCCGCATATGCCGGCACTGCAAGCTTAAGTTCATAGGGGGCGCCTTCCGTTGCGCGCAACACATCACGCGCTGGAAAGGGCTGAAACGGAAGGACGTCCGTCTTTGCAAGGCGCCTATCCCTTCTGCTGACCGCGGCGCCGTCCGCGAATTGTACGAAGGCAAACACGCCCGCAGGGAAAGGAAGAAGAAGGCGGAGGAGATGGCGATCGAGGCGTGTGCGGGTGGAGCGAAGAAGCAGTGCATCGAAGACTTCTACGGGGAAGGGGCGTCGTGTGCGAAGGAATCGGCATACGACGCCATCTGCCTCATGTGGGCGGCACTTCACCTCCCGGAGCATCTCGCCGATCACCCTCTCTGGCGCAACGCTGTGCGCTGCATCACGGACGCGGGCCATGGCTACGTTCCCCCGAAGCGGCGGTATGTTGGTGGCGCCGGCCTTGCGCGCTGCCGCGAAAAGATCGAGAGGGGGCTCGCTCCCATCACTGCGAGCTGGAAGCGGGATGGCGTGACGATAGGCTCGGACATGATGACGGACAAAAGTGGCCGTCCCCAAGCCAACATCCTGCTCATCAACGATTCCGGTGCAATGTTCACCGAAAGCATCGACTGTAAGTTGGAGACGAAGACGGGAGGCTACATTGCATCCGTTTTGCGCCCGATCATTGAGAAGGTGGGGCCTGCCAACATAGTTGAGTTATGCATGGATGGGGGCAGCAATTATGTGGCTGCATGTAGGGAACTCATGCTTGACTATCCTCACATTGAGCATGTGCCGTGCGCTACTCACGTCATGGATCTGCTCATGGAGGACATTGGGAAAATGGATTGGGCGAAGGACATTGTGGCTAAGGCGGGGGTGATTATTACCTTTGTGCGTGCCCACCATTTCACCAAAGGTTACATGCGAAGCCCGCAAGTGAAGGGAGGGAAGGGGAAGCAGGTACTGAAGCCGGCGGGCACCAGATTTGGCACGCAATTCATCGCGGTGCAGCGGCTTTGCGAGGTGCGGAGTGCATTGACGCAGATGGTGCTGAGCCCGGAGTGGCAGGCTTGGGCGAAGGGGAGGAAGCCGCCGGTCGAGCCCTTCGCAACCATGATCATGGATGCCATGTGGCGGAAAGGTGCGGAGTTCTTCGTCGCCCTCCTGAAGATCCCTTTTGTCGTCATGCGCAAGACCGACTCGACGGCCAAGGGCATGATGGGCAGGATGTACGATCTGATGCTGCAGCTCACGGAAGACATCAATGCGAAGCTGGAGGAGGAGGAGGCGGGATTGGTGCTGTCCAGCAGTGAACGCACGGAGTTGACCAACATCGTCCAAAAGCGCTGGGACCATAGCATGGCGTGTGCCATGCACGTGGTTGGCCGGATCCTCAACCCGGCCAACCGAGAGGAAGGCATCTTCCGCACCGACCTGGAGTGTACTCGCGTCTTCAAAGCGTTTGTCGCTCGTCACTACGCAGGGCGGACCGTCACGCGCAAGGATGGCGAGGAGCTGCGCGCATCCCACGTCATCCAGGACGGCCTGATGGCATTCAACACCCTTCAGGGGAGCTTCGGCCTACCCGACGCCATCTCTGACCGTGAGCTCGTGAAGGCCGGTGAGAAGACGGCCGTCCAGTGGTGGACGTGGCACGGGACGGAGTACCCCGAGCTGACAACGCTCGCTTGCCGCGTTCTCTCTCAGCTAGTGTCCGCATCGGCGTGTGAGAGGAACTGGGCAGTGCGGGAATCGATCCACACTGCCAAGCGCAACAGGTTGGGGTCCGAGAAGTGTCGGGACCTCGTGTATGTTGCGCACAATTGGAAGATTGTGCGCAACTGGCACAAGGGGGCTGAGTGGGTGATGGTTCTCCCGGGGAACATCCCTGAGGCCTCCCTGCCGGAAGGGTACAACGAGGTTCTGGAGGAGGATGAGGAGGAGGGGGAGGAGGATGAGCTGGAGGATGAGTACAAGTAGAGGAGGAAGGAAGGGATGGGGGGAGTAGAGGGTGGGAGTAGGGGGTGGGGTAGGAGAGATGCATGTTGCTTGCTTAGAGTAGTTTAGAATGGTGGGTTTTTTCAATATATGAAATTCGGTAAAACCACCACTCCCCCCCCCATCCTTCGGCGGTTTTTTTCGTCTGCCCGGTAAAAACCTTTTGCTGCCCAGGCAGCGTACTTTCTGCGACTTTCAAAGTCACTCACGAAGCGCATAACGCACTATACGCAAGCGTATATACGCTTGCGTATAGTGCGCTGGGCGCGACTTTTCCAACATAGCTTAGCACCTGCAGCTGCAGCCCAGTCCTTGAAGACATCATGGGAGACCATGCTGGACAGATGAGGGCGCAACTCACAAAGTCGAGACACGGCAAGGTATTGTGTCCCGAAGCGAGTGCCCGCAGGTCGCAATGCCTGCAGCACCTTCTCGCCATGCAGCTCCCCCGCCCTTAGGTATGCGCGTGTCCAATGATGGTTGCGCAAGAATGTGATCAGCTCCCCCGCTCGTTCAACCAACTTTTTGGTCCAATCCATCTTCCTTATGTCTTCCATAAAGAGGTCAAGCACATGTGTTGCGCACGGCACAATCTCAATGTGCGGCCATTCCTTCACAATCTCACGGGTCGCGGCTGCGTAGTTGCTCGCTCCATCCATGCATAGTGCAACGACATTTTCCGGCCCCACCTTCGTTATGACTGGCCGGATGAGGCTAGCAATGTAACCGCCTGTTTTCCGTTCCGTCCCGCAGTCAACACTCTCCATAAACACAGCTCCATCTTCGTTGACGCAAAGGAAATTCGCCTGCGCACGCCCATTCCTGTCACTCATCATGTCACTAGAGATGGTGACACCTTTCTCCGGCCACTTCTTAACCACGGGATCCAACCCCTCCTCAATCCTCTTACGAGTCCGCTGCAGTCCAGCCCCGCCCACGTACTTTCTCTTCGGAGGGACATAGCTACCACCCGCTGCTGCAACTGCCCTTATCATGTTGCGGAAAAGAGGGTTGTCGGCTTGGTTTTCGGGAACACCCAATGCTGCGAAATAGAGACATATGGCATCATCCGCCTCCCGCCTAGCCACTGACCCCTCCGCCCCATAGAAATCTGACATGCGCCTCTCTTAGAACCCACCCCGCTGCTGGTTTTGCCACTAACCGCATCCATGGCCGCCATCTCCGCCCGGTTTTTCTCCAACTGCTTCTTACATTTCCCCTCCTGCAATGTGCGAATGCTCTCTACTACCTCTTTTGGCGCATCCGGGCACACAGTAATGTCGTGACCCTTCTTCCCCTCCCAATCAGCAAGATGAGCGGTGCAACGCGTGCTACTGGAAACGAACTCTTTTGGGCGGGCAATAACGGCATTTCGCCATTCTGCCTTTGGTGGGATCCTTAACGTAAAATAAAAAATGCTTGTACACGGGATGTTTAGGCATTTCGTCGTACTGGCGTTCTCCCTCCACACCACCGACAGAAGGTGTGGAGGCACTAACAGAATGACCGGCGGGACTAGCAGTTGACATGATGTGCCAATCGTCTTAACCTAGTTTTAGCTAGGTAGGCTTAGTAGCGTGATTGTTGCCTAGTAGGAATGATTGGCAATGTCGAGAGAAACAGATGTGTGTAATGTCGACCTGGATCTGGTTCTCTAGTTTAGTTGGGTGTCGACCTGGTTGGGAGAAGTAGATGTGGATGGGTACAAATGTGTGGGGGTGAATAAATGAGGGTTGCGTTTTTGTAGGTCAAAAACGTGGCCCCCAGTTGGCAATCTCATCGCAATGCTGGTCGCGATGAGATCGCGAGTCAATTTCGTGCGGGGAGAATGTTTTTTCGGGCTGCCCGATTTTTTTTTCCCTGAATGTCCAGCGTCAAACCGATTTGACGCGTCCAGCGTCCGGACGTGAACGTCCGGACGCTGGACGCTGCCCTTCCAGGGCGTCAGGCGCAACATAGGCAGCAAGCATGCGCCACCTCCTTAGCAGCAAGCATGCGCCACCTCCTTAGCAGCAAGCATGCGCCACCTCCTTAGCAGCAAGCATGCACCACCTCCTTAGCATGGTTTCGGTCGCAGCTGGCCAGCATAGTCATTATCAACTCAGGTAAGAGGCAAGTACCTACCTCGACTGGTAGACATGGCACGCACACTTTCAAACCAACCTGCCTCTCCCCTCTCCACCGCGGCCACCTGTAGCCGCCATGCCTGACGGCCATCCACCATCCCCGCCTCTCTCACTGCCACTACAATCTACCCCCCTCACCCAGGCACTGCAAACCGTCATTGGCAGCACGCCTGCGCGGCCGTCGCGCCTGCTGCCCGTCTCGTGGGCGCGCACCGTGCCCGAGGGCCATCTGGTGGAGCAGGCGCTGGCGCTGCTGCTGTGGGGCCCGCAGCGCCTGCCCGCCCTGCGCACCGGCAAGTGGTCCGCCAAGCGCCTTGCGCTGCTGCTGAAAGGAGGACAGCGAGCGGAGGAGCGTGCAGGGAGGAGGGGGGGGACGTTGATGTCACCCAGAGAGCTGTTCCTGATGAGTAAGGGCGGGCAGGGGAGCGGGTTGGGGAAGGGCGGTGAGGAGGAGGAAGAGGAGCGGAGCGGCAGGGGGGATGCGTGGAGTGGCGCTGCTGGGGGGCTCAGACCTCTGGGGCGGTCGGCTTCCTGGAAGCTTCAGTCGTCAGTGTCGTTTTGGAAAGGGAGGGAGGGGGCCGGGTCGATGGCAAGTGCTGTATCAGTGGGAGAAGAGGAGGAGGATGAGGACGAGGAGGAAGAGAGGGGGTTTGGAGATCGGATTCAGATGAAACTGGAGAAGGCTGTGCAAGTGGCAAGGTGAGGGGCAACGTGAGGGGCAACGTGAGGGGCAACGTGAGGGGCAACATGAGGGGCAACGTGAGGGGCAACGTGAGGGGCAACGTGAGGGGCAACGTGAGGGGCGAGGTGAGGGGCGAGGTGAGGGGCGAGGTGGTCAAATTGAGACCACAGGAGAGAGGTGTAAGTTAATCCATTGCCCTCTGCCCGCTACCCTCTGCCGCCCTCTACCTCGTTGTGTGTCCCTGTGTGAGTGGCTGTGCTTGCAAAACTGGTCGCTGCCATTGAGTTGTGTGTGTGTGTGTGTGTGTGTGTGTGTGAGTGAGTGAATGCGTGGGGCCAAGGCAACAGGGAGAGGGAGGAGCTAGCGGACAGGGCGCAGGCAACGGTGGAGGGGTCGCTCATAGACGACATCCCCAGCAACGTCACTCTCCTCCTGGTGCCCCCCTGCCTCCCCCACCCTTTTCCTCCTCTTGCCCCCCTGCTCCTCCACCCCTCTCCTCCTGGTGCCTCACTCTCCCTCCGCCCGTCTCCTCCTCGAGCCTCACTGCCTGTGCACCTTCTCTTCCCGCTTCCCCATCCTGTTTTGTGTCGTCTGGACATGATTGGATGCGCCACGCCTCCCAATCTTCACATGCCACACTATCCTAGCCCCTCACTCAAAACCGTTAATCCCTCTTTGAGATTCTCACACCCCGCCCTCCCCCCGCCTCCCCTCCCCCCAGCATCTGCTGCGGCCGGTGTACAGCGGGGTGCGGGCGGCGGTGGACATCATTCAGTGGAAGGAGCCACTCGCCACCATCCTCGCCGCCATGCTCTGCCTCTTCCTCGTCAACGGGCAAGCCCCTCCCCGCCTCAGTCTGCCCTACTTTGCTCTCCCTCGCTCCCCCTTGGCCTTTCGTTTTCTGTTCTCTCCTTTCTCGTTCTCTCTTTTCTCGTTCTCTCTCGTCAATACATATAACATAATCGAGGAGACTTTTTTTCCAGAGGCATCTTGGCGTCCTGGCAGATACGTTTAGGCAATGCCCCTTGCCCCAATTCTCCGTTTTCCTGCCCCTGCCTCTCCTGTCCGTCTTCTCGATTGCCGTGCTTCCCTCCAGGGGATACTTCTGGCTGCTACCAGCGCTGCTGCTGCTGCTGCTCGCCGCCATCATCATCTTCTACCGCATCACCAACCCCTCCTCGCCGCCGCCACAACCCCCCTCTCTCCCCCACGGCCCCGGCTCCCCCAAGTCGACAGCCTCACAGCTGCCCCTCGGCAGCCCCGCCCTGGCGTCCTCGCCGGCGCCACCAGCGTCAGCAGCGGGGGGGCGGTGGGGCAGGGGGGGCGGGGCGATGCGGGTGCTGGTGGTGGAGATGGAGCCGTCGCCCACCACGATGGGGGCGGTGATGATGGTGAAGGACGGCATCGCGGCGGCGCTCACCGTGTTCCAGCGCATCAACGTGGCGCTGCTCAAAGTGCGCAGCATCTTCCAGTCCGCCGAGCCACAGGTGCGTGCACTGGGGCACATGGGTGCAGGGGAGCAGCTGGGTAAGGCAGAGTAGTAGGCTGCATACTGATATTAGTCTCACATGCACCTGGTGGATTTCCTCTTGTCTACTCAACTGTCGTGGTTGGACCGATGGTTTGCACTCATCACCCCTTCACCTCTGCATCACCCCTTCACCTCTGCATCACCCCTTCACCTCTGCGTCACCCCTCCCACTGTGCGTCACCCCTCCCACTGTGCGTCACCCCTCCCCCAGTGCGTCACCCCTCCCCCTGTGCGTCACCCCTCCCCCTGCGCGTCACCCCTCCCCCTCTGCATCACCCCGCCCCCCCACAGCTCACTGACAAGGTGCTGCTGCTGCTGTTGGCGGGGGCGGCAGCAGCTGTGGTGGTGCCGCTGCTGGTGCCGGCGCGGGTGATCGGCACGGTGGCAGTGCTGCACATCTTCTCCGCCTACTTCAACTTCCAAAAGCAGAAGGGCGGCCCGCAGACCTCCTCCATGGGGCACAAGCTGCGCCGCTGGTGGCAGCTCGTGCCCGTCCCCCCCGTCAGGGTCGTTGTCGCCGGCTCTGCTGCCGCCGCTGCGGCGTCCACAACTGCCTTGGGTGGCGACAAGCTGAAGTGAGCTTCAGCGCCGAGACCAAGGGCCTTCAACCGACAAATCATACGCAGTGCCGTGTGCACTGTGACTGCCAAACGCGGCTATGAATGAATGAATGCTATGGAAGAACGCTCATTTGAGTTGTCAAGTTGGTGGTGACCAACAACCGGACTTGATGTCTGATTAGTCTGAGGTTTCAGACCCTGGTTATTGTAAAATAATCAACTTTCCAAAACTGAGCTATTCAAACCAAAAAAAAGTTACGGTAACCCTGTATTCCAGTAAGTTGTATCAGAGTTAGAGTTACACCTACTACGAGGAATCAACAGAAAATTCTTAGAAACTACCTTATTCTCCTGGACATAACACCCTAGGGTATAGCTAAAAATACAGGGAAAAAATGGGGGCGGTCTCCTCATAGGAAAAAAATGCATAATACCCGGGTCTTTGCATATGGTATATTTTAGTGTTAGTGTTAATTTGATTAGACAATGTGGGTGTTCTGATTTTCATTTTAACATCACTGTCTGAGGCGCAAATGTGATTTTCGGCCACGAACTTCATCACCCCTACGAAAATGCCATGTGGCACCTCTCTTGCCACTTGCAGCGGAAGATTCGTCGGCACCAGGGCCTCAGATTCACTTTTAGGGTCGTCGACCCATCAGGGTACCCTTGTGTATAAACCCTGATTGACAGTGTTTCTAAAAAAAAAACCTGAAATATTAGGGTTCCCTTTGAAAAAAGGCTGATGTATCAGTGTTCAAAAATATAAAAGGTTGTTGATTACTAGAAACCTCTACAAATAATAAGTCAGTAGCAGCCGTGTTATCATCACTGCCTTTGGCTTCTCTCCTCTCCTCGGCTTGGGACACCAGTACGTGACAGTGCTCTGCCGCAGCACACACATACACGTTGAAGCTGCAGGGGCAGGGTGTGGAGGAGGAACCGGATTGACAGGCAGGGTGAGGCAGGGAAAGAGAGAACAGGAGGGAGAGAGGGGGGAAGATTGGCACAGTTGGGGGGGAGACGACTGGGGGAGAGATGGAGTGCACGGAGTGCGGGGCAAAGGGAGCAGAGGAATGGACGGCGGGCGCGCGGGTCATGCGCGGATCATGTCGTCGCGCAGCACGACGATCTGCGCACCGCACGCAGTGCAGATGGCCTTTTGAACCGCGGTTCGTGCTGGCGACGAGGCAGCCTTCGGTTGCCGCCATTAGCACGAAAAACTACGCGTCGTCGAGTCGTAGCGGGCCTGCGACGCCGACGGGAATTGCCACGTGGTCTACGACCATCTAGCAGAATGCACTGCGGATCGCGTCGAACGAGAGCGATGTGTTCGGTGAGACATGAGGAGATTCGGCGGCGCTTGCGATGGGTTCGATTCCCGACAGCCCGCCCTTTCTGGTGCTGATGGCGCCATGAATTAGTGCAGACGAGAAAGCAAGAGAGGAATCGGGCTGAGAGGGAGAGGGAGAGAAACAGGAGGAAAAGAAACAAGAGATTGGGTTGGAGGGAATGGGAGCATCAGTGCTTGCTGGTGCAGGAACCCTCGCAGCCCTCCAGCACAACATGGTTGCCACATCCTGATTAGCTATCACTTCATGCTACAGCGTTACTGCCCAATGAAGTGCTGGCACCGCAGGAATATGAGATTCCCTGTTTTGCGGGCAAATGCACACGGAACAAGTAAGAATTGCTTTCAGTGTTAGTTTCGTTACAACGCCGTAGAATCAATGTACTTGGGAAACGAAAGTCTGAAATTTCAGTGTGGCCTAACAAAAAAGGCTGAAAGATCAGTCCCACAAAAATCTCAACGCTGATTTTTCAGTGTAGGTAAAAAAAGGGCTGCCAAAATCAGGAATTTCAGGGTTTTTTTCCTGATATCTGAGGCCCTGGTCTGGACGTGGCGACTGCGAAGTAGTGGGAGGGGGGAAATCTCGGTAGATTGTAAGTGAATGTTCCACAATTTTGTATAGGGAGAAATTTTCGCGATATTCTTCCGTATTGCAGCTACTCGTTAACGACTATAATAACGAATTCGTAAGAAAAGGGGGATGTTATAGAAAATCAGCCAAAAAGAGGGGTATAGTAGAAACGAGGTCTATCATAACACCCAACCCGCATAAGCTATCCGAGGGTCTACAATTACGGCGATGTGTTTTGTCCAGGAGAATACGGTAGGAGCCTTAGGGACTAACGAGAATGTGTTGATTAGGTCAAGGGAGGGTGATACAACCAAGGTGTCTATATAGTATTGTACATGCAACTCACTCGAGCATATATATATATCTACAAACATAGTTTGACACACCCCCATAGGCTCAGTGAGGAGCATCAAAACAAGTATGATATGAATGTGGTCACAAGATTAGTCAAGAAAGAAACACAGAATGATCAAGGTGGATCACGAAGTCACCACACATTCTGAGCACAAAGAGGGCACAAGGCCAGTTCAAGAGTTCGCAGACATATATAGAAGTACAGCCAGCAACAAGAGACAAGACTACTGGAATCAAGAGCCTACGTCAACAAGGCCCAACTACAAACAGAGCCGGTGGTGGTCACCGGGCGAAAGGGCCTTGGTGAAGGCTAACTACAATTCATGCAATGTTTGCAGTGTTGGTCTCTAAGGTCACGAAGTCCAAGTGAGCCTGCCCACGTCGCTGTAACGCTCGCAGGAGAAAGTACCTGACATCGATGTCCTTCACTCTGCTCTCTAGTCGGGGTTCTCGACATAGGAGGATCATGGCCTTGTTGTCAGCGAACAAGGTCGGTGCAGAGCTCGACCGCTCACCAAGGTCGGTGAGCAAGAAGGTCAACAAGCGAAGCTCCTACGTAGCCATGGCACTGGCGTAGATCTCTGCCTCAGCACTAGACGACGACCGAGTAGACCTCCACGACACAGCTCCAGTGCCCAAGCTGAAGCAATAGCCCTAAGTGGAAATCTGTGTCTCCAAGTCGTCGACGTAGGAAGAGTTGCAGTGATCGGTGAGTACAACTGGCTGTGTCCCTCCAAGCACAAGCCCCATGACTGATGTAGTCGCTAGGTACTTCGCCACTCTCACAGCAGCTGTCTAGTGAACAGGACGGTGTCTCCCAATCGCAACAAAGGAAGAGAGGACGCTGAGAGGAAAGGCGAGGTCCGGACGAGTACAATTCATGACGTACATGAGGTTGTTGGAGTAGGCTAGAGCTTGCTCTGGCCTCTATTTTTGTGTTCTTATGTTATTACTCCATGCTTACGCATTCAGGTTCATTCTAGGTTCATTTCGTAGTTTTTAGTACAAACCGAACACACCCTAGGTTCAATTAATGTTTCCAACCCTCTCTCTTTTGTACCTCGACATTCTCTTCCTAGTCGAACTTCTTTCACCTCACCAAAACCGCTCGCCATCCATGGCTTCTCGAAGTTCAACATGGTATTCAGAGCCTAGTCCTAGGCGTTTCCCTTTTATCCGCTTCTCTTAGATTGTTTCTGGCCCTTAGGCCATTTCCGCGCTACTTAGCTAGACGATTTTCTTATTCTTTTAATTTCTCGTTTCCTTAAAGTCACACTTAGCATCCTCGCGGTTTTCTTCATTTTAGTCACGTGGATGCTCTATTCCACTCCGTAGCACGCCTCCCTACTGTCCGTATTGCTCTCCCGCGCCTTCTCTTTTCGTCGCGCCTCCTCCTCCTCACGTTTCCGGTGGTAGCGCGCTGATTTCTGCTCATAGCGCGCTCAGCCGCCCTCCCTCCCCTCCACCCCCTCCGGTCTCGTCGCGCGCGCATTGCGCTGCCGTCGCCGCGCGCGCTTCACTTCGTCGAGCAGTGCGCGCGCTTACCTCCCCTGCGGCGCGGCCTGCCCTTTCCCAATCCGCCCTCCCCTCCCTCACCCTCCTCCTTTCCTCTCTCCTTTGTGCATCCCTCCCTATCTCACCTCTTCCTCCTCATCTTTTCTCTCCTCATCTGCTGCAGCTCGTAAGTGCTTGTGGCACGCCCTTCCCACAAATCTGCCCCTTCACCATCCTTGTGGGGGACGTCCCCGTTATAATATTTTTCATTATTTTATCTTTCCTTTATCTTATTCTCTATTTTCTCCTCTTTATTTTGGTCTTTATTTCATCTCAATCGGCCTACTACTCTTTTTTCTAGAGCCTTCTATTTATTTCTCTTATTTCCTACTTCTCCCACCGACATATCTATTATACGGCACCGACAGCGCCGACAGTGGTGTATACGGTGTAATCTGGGCGTAATCCCAAGTGCCAATAGCCTTGCGTGCTTATGCGCACTTGTAATTGTAGTATCGGGAAGGGCGTGTTCCCGAAGGTTCGTTTTATCTCATTTATCCTAGTATTTTCCGAGTATAAAAACGCCTTCAATTCAGTTTTAGTGAGAAGTTTTGATTGAAAATTCGATCTTGTGACAATCCTCCTCTCCTCTCTCCCTCTTAATCCCCTTCCACTCTTTTTCCTCCACCTCTTTTGTCTCCTCATATGCTGCAACTGGTGGCTGATTGTGTTTTTGAAGTTGTTGCTCCTCCACACCTTTCCTCCTCCTTAGTACCCTCCCCTCAACTGCTCAACTGCAAACTCCTTCTCAACCCTCCCTCCTCTTTTTTTCCCTTTAGCGGCCCAGTAGCAGACAACCTCGCCGCTATCCCTCCTCCTCTTATTTTTCCCCTCAGTGGCACAGCAGCAGATTACTCCGCCACTATCCCTCCTCCTCTAGTTTCTCCCCTTAGCAGCGTAGCAGCAGACTATGTGAAGAGTGAGGAATGAAGAAGAGAGGGGCTTTGCACTAGCAGTAGTTGGCATACATATAGGAAACCCTAATTGGGTTGTACTCGCTATAGAGTACCCCACTGCAGGCTAGAAAATTATAACATTCTGACAGACTACTCCGCCACTATCCCTCCTCCTCTTGTTTCTCCCCTCAGCGGCTCAGCAGAAACTACTCCGTCAATCTCCCTCCTCTTGTTTCTCCCTCCACCGGCTTAGCAGCAGACTGCTTCGCACTTATTCCTCCGCCTCTTATACC